CAACTTAGAATTCTCCACTATTGAAAAAAAAAACATCAACAACACAACAAAATGTTGCATAACTCCCTCAAGCACATAATGCTGCCCTCTTTTGAATTATTTACTTAAACTAAGAAACCAAAAGTGAAATTACTGGCTCAAGGACCTTGAATACTTCTATCTCTCTTAATGCCCAGTATGAAAAATGCTTCTGATTTTGATTTTGACTGAATTTAATCACCTTTAAAATTGCCATGGAATATGATAATACAAATAGGAACTCTATGATCACTGATAACAAAGACAGCATCTTTACTTGCTTATAATCCTAAGCTTTTGATAGAACTAGTGGAAATTTTCTTCTCTTGATGGCCTTGGACCCGTTCTGAAATTCTAGTTCTTGTTGTTCAATTAAAATGGCATGGATCCCCTCGTGACTTCTCTGTCTTAACAAATGTCATATATGTGGATATTTTTCCTGGATACAGTGTGCCTTCCATAAAGTGGAACAGAAATTATTCTAATGGAGTATTTGGAAAATTTGTAGAGTATTACTTTTAGTATAGGAGTACCTTGGACTAATTTATATTACTCAGATACAATACTCTGTTGTATGTATCCTCATTAGCAGCACAATTCATAGTAGTCTCTATTGCAGTAGAAAATGTAAAGGAGAAAAATGCAGCTAGTGTAACACAGTAGACTCTCATATTTATCATCCAGTTAACATTAATAAACAGATAAATTGCTTATTGCTTTTCTGCAGTACAAGAACTAGTAGTTTAGAGTTTGTAGTTACATTCTTCTTCTTCTTTTTTTTTTAAGATTCTGTTGTGAGCTGGAGAATTTAGTTACCATGTTTGGTTCTCACAGGCCTGCCCTGTGACCTCACATCAGCCTGTCTGAAGATTTGTTTTTGCGTATCCTTATATGGGAAGGCTGCCTGGAGAAGCTATCTGACCGGAATTAGAGGCCCTGTAGCATTTGCAGGAAGTGATTTGTGTAATTAAGTTTCCTTACTATAAGAATTTGTTACACAAAGAAGGTGGTGGATTGAAAAACATTTTTATTGGCTATAAAATCACCTTGATATTACAATGCTCAGTGGTCTATATAACATCTAAACAAGATCTAAATTTATACAGAAACTCATTGCAATGAGTTCATAATGAGAGTGTTAAGGGTAGGAAGTTGAATGCTGGAGTGAATTGATTTATTTTTAAATTCTTAGTGCAACCTTAGTCTGATATTTTTGAAAGAGAAGGTTGAAATATATTAGTCTAGCCTGTGGAATATTTACCTGTGGTTCTTGCTTGTAATTGTGTAATTTGTTTTCAAGAACTGTTTTTGGGGCTGGGGATTTAGCTCAGTGGTTCTGTGGCATGTCTTGCAAGCGCAAGGACCGGAGTTCAATCCCCAGTAGCAAAAAAAAAAAAAAAAAAAAAA